CTTCTGGGCTGAAACTAAACAGATATCTGTAAGAAAAAGAACAAAAATAGAAACACTCCATCTGATGTAAAGTTAAATCTTCATGAATACATTTGAAGTAGATATGCCATGCCTTGTGAATTAAAAAGCCTCATGTTGATGCTTCTGGGCTGTTCCGTCTTAAGGTGGCACGGGGCTGAGAGGGAGTGTGAGCTCTACGGCTCGGAGGGGGGGATCCACTCCTGCCGTATCCCCGGAAACATCGCCCTCTTCACGCCGTACCAGATCTGGGTGGAGGCCAACAACCCGCTGGGCTCCGCCTCCTCAGAGGTCACCTCCCTGGACGTCCTGGACGTAGGTAGGTGAGGAAAAAACCGTCTTTTTCCTTAGAAAGGTCCGTGCATACGAGGGAGAAGTCACCATTTTTTTGAGAAATCTGTGAATTATTGTCACTGGGGTGGGTCTTGAGGGAGGACTCAGGCGCGGAGAGATTTTAGGAACAGGGGTTTATTGGAACAAAAAACTCACTCTAACGGAGTGGATGGTGACAAAGTTAAAAACAAGGCTGTGGCAAAACTATGAACAAAGTATCAAACCGAGATTAAACATGACTGTGAACACAAAGTATCAAATAAGGTAAACAAGGCTATGGCAAAGTAACAAATAAAGATTAACAAAACTGTGGCAAGGCTGTGGCAAAACTATAAACAAAGTATCAAATCAAGATTAAACATGACTGTGAACTCAACGTATCAAATAAGGTAAACAAGGCTATGGAAAAAGTATCAAATAAAGATGAACAAAACTGTGGCAAGGCTGTGGCAAAACATGGCTATGACAAAAACAGTTAACAAGGCAATGGCATGGCTGTGACGAAATCATGGCTATGGCAAAGTGCAAAAAATCAAAACCTTACATGACGTGGGGAGATGAAAAAATGAAGGACAAAAGACAAAAACACACTGGCCCAGGACATGGGAAACGAGGACTATTTAAACACATGAGGGAGGGGAACCCCAGGTGAACACAATAGGTAATCAACACATGACAACACACCAGACATTCCCCCAGACGTGACAATTATCAATCATCTCGCAGCCTCTTTGATAAATGACGTGTCATTTTTCACGATTATTTTAGTTCTAAATTCCCTTTAAAAAAGCGCTTCTTAGAGTTGTTTTGTTAGGAAAGTCTTCCAGTTTTGTGAGGTGAAAATGGAAGGCATGAGAAATGATATTTTAACCCTGTAATGACAAATGTATCATATTTGATTCATACGGTTTCTGAAATGTTTTGCGTCTGACACCTTTTGCATAATTTAATGGTAAAAACTTTGCTCAAAATCCTATTGTACACAATCAGATACACCTGATAACAGGGGGCAGAAGACTGCACAAAAAATTATCTTGATTTATCGCATTCTAATAAATTATTAATATCGAAAAGATATTTTTGTTTTTTCTTTCAACATATGTTGTTAAAAGGCCAAATAAGGAATTCAAACAAAAAAAAAGGAATTTTCTGTTTTGTTTTATTCTTGGATCGGGCTTTAAAGGGTTAAAATGGAAGCTGAAGGCATCGGTAAATGGGCTGAATATTTGAAAAAATAAAAGATATTCCAAAATAAAAAATGCTCATCTGGGAATTATCAAACATCTCGCAAACTCTGTGTTTAATGACCTGTCATTTTCATGATTATTTTGGTCTAAATTCCCTTTAAAAAGGGCTTCTTAGAGTTGTTTTGTAAGGAAAGTCTTCCAGTTTTGTTTGATAAAAATGGAAGGCATGAGAAATGATATTTTATGGCTTTGATTAATCTTGAAAATGAGCTGGTAAGATTTGTGATGGGAATCTATCACAGTGTAAATCCCTTCAGTTGAATTTTGGAATAAAAACATTTAGTATAGTATAGTTTTCTGCATTCGTTTCCTCCCGTGATGTGCCTGGGCTTTAATGGTCCCGGTTTGTGGACTCTGTCTTTGCTTTCTGGGTATGCGGTTTGGGTTTTTTTTCAGGCTCAGTTTGTTTGTTTTGGAGCTTCTGGTTTGCCAGATTTCTGTAGTTTGTTTAAACGAGGCCTGTTAGTTATTTTCCCTGCCCCACTTTTCCTCTGAAAGCTTTCCTCAGTTTGTTTTCTGTCGGGTCATCAGTTAACGGCCGCTTTCCTCACAGTATTTTTCAGATCTTTGACTTCCTTTTTGGTTCTTTGTTCTTTCCCACTCTGGTTTTCCATCTTGTTTTATAATCTGGTGCTTCGTTCTAATGAGGTCTGTTTCTTTCTTTTTACACAGCTTTCATTCAAATTCCATTTGCACAGATACTTTTTAGGTAATTGTTCATATCTTTATTTTAGTAGAGAAAAGGTTTTAAACAAGCAAAATAAACCTAAACTATTTTAAGTATTTTACTAAAACCTTTATGAAATGCTCCAAAGTGTTTTGAGGTCATTTTTAACTGAAAAGCTGCTTAATATTTTAGGATAAAAATGAAACCGTGAACCTTCTCATTTCACTTAAAGAACAGGTGACTTTTAAGATTATTTTTGAATCTGTTTTTAGTTTTATTCTTAGTTTAAAAAAAAACACTGATTAAAACATTGTGGGGAGTGTTTTTCTAAACTATTTCCTCTCCTTCCTCTTTTTTCTGTGCTGTTTTCCTCTGTCCTCTACATCTGCTTGCCTGCAGAACTGCTGCATATGGGACGCATACATCTTCTAAAGGGAGCGGATTTACTTTTATGGGCTTTTGGTGCTACCCCTCTAAGATTTGTTACCTGCTCAGCAGATGCTTCTCACTTCTCCCTTAATGGCCTCGTGGGTTTTTCTCAAACCCCGTTGT